CTCCGGTCACGGTTTGCTCAAATTTCCTATTATTAGTAACTGATTCCGCACAGGACGTATCTCAGGATGGATTGTCAGCTTGCGTATTGTAGGCACATAATGTTTTACGCGTTGATTTATACCCCCATTCCTCCTTGTGCAATGTTGTCACCAGTAAAACAAGCAGATACACTTAGAAGGGAAAAGAAACGACAATGTGTTGAACTTCTGACTAAAAACTTAAAAGGAAGGGTGACACGCATCTTGCGCCGGCGACGGAAAGGTGATTGACCCGAAGCAGCGCGTCATCGCTACTTCCATACAGCGACGCCGGCACGTTCAGAAATGTTCTGAACAAGAACACCCGGTGACAGGCAAGAATGGGCTGGGATTTCTTAGAAGAGTACAACAAAATGAGAAGGGTACAAAATTAATAAAATAAGTGTCCGGGCCGAGCGGGACTCAAACCCCATTCCCCTGCGTGACAGCCGCTTGCGTTGCCAACTTCGCCACGCACGCGACAATATCGCTTGTACTCCTAGCATCCTCGATGCTCCGCACCGGTGTGCACCAAGGCACCGAGGTGCGCTCCTTCGTCTTCGATCAAGTGCACTGGTGCGCACCGGGCGCCCTCGCTTAACGGAGCGCACCCTGCCGGGTGCGGCTTTTCGTTGCCCCACCGCGCACCGAGAAAACTGACGGTGTACTGGGGTGCAGCCCCGTCAGGCATTGCGGCCAGGAGCGGGAATCGAGGAGATGGCGGGAATAGCAGACGCGCAGTCCGTCGAGACGGCGACCTTGCGAAAGTGGACCTGCCACGCAACAGCACTCAATAGGGAGTTTTCGTAGATCGTTTTCGCCGTAACGGAACGCTCTCCGCAACCCTCTACGATACCCGGAACTCTAGAGCCAAGGCTATCGGCGCGCAGGCGCAGTAGCGGCTTCTTCGTTTCGCAGGGCTTAGCGGAGAGGGGAAGCCGGTCTACGAAAACTCCCTAATGAATTTCCCAGCTCTTCCGACAGCGAAAACGACGAGCTTCTTACCATTGCCACGATTACCGGTGATTGCTGCGTTGGCAAGGAGCGCCCGAAAGTTATGAACTTGGTGGAAAGCGTTGTGAGGCGTTTCGACGACATCTAAGGTACGGCTATTATCTGGCAAAACTCTTCCTTGAACCAACAACGATGGGCAAAATATACATTTGGAAATGTCACCCGCTTCGGTGACCCCATCAACAATCGCGTCCACGATGATCGTTAGTGTGTGACCGCTAAACCTGTAAGTAAAAAAAAAAAAAAAAAAAAAAAAAAAAAACGGGAGAAATTGTTAGCAGACGGGCACCGCGCGCGGACGTATGCAAGAAAGACCGACCAAAACGTGAGGTGACACATGGTGGCGGTCGCCGCGGTGCCCCGGCGCGGCGCAGCTTGTCCTGGACGTTGCACTGACTTCGCACTGGACGACCGAGGAGCGCTGCGCACTCTCCTGGTTCCAGGGCGGTTCCGGTGCATCGAAGATGCTATTCCTTTCAGTTTAAGTTCAGACGCAGCCGACGACACGAGCTTATGGGACCAATCAGACAGGGTCAAAAGCGCGCCATCGTGGTGCTGGTAATGTTTTTGTATGTGTTCTATTATCTCTAAGTGATTCATAAACAGAAGAGGCCCAAATGACTCGAACTTTCGGGGCTGCTAGATCGGTCCTATTAGCTCATAAGAGTTTGCTGCGTCTGCTGGACTTAAACTGAAACGAAGTATAGAAACTACCGCTTATGCGGCGTTTATACTACGTTCAAATGTACTACAATATTAAATTCATTACACTTATATTATAAATGGGGGGTGCCTATTTTAGGCTTTACAGATCGATTTTAAAGTCTAATGAAGTATAATCACTTAAGTTATACAGCCAGGAGGAGTGGGATATTATATAAGTAAAAAGAAACATATGGTTGAAATTAGAAACTTGCTGAGTGTCATCGAAAACCGCTAGATCGGTAAATTTTAGAAAGAATTCCATAACATGGGAAACGCGGTGGTGCCCTAAAGTTACCATTTGAGAAAAAGGCTCAAGGCTGGCGGTGTGAGAACGCGGATGATAGTTTTATCACCCGCATCCATCATGCCAAATCATCACAAATCAACGCATGCCGAGTAGCATCGGCTGAAATTTGGAATTGTTTGGCTGTTTTTACGCATTCGTTCATCTTCTGAAATTCGGGCGCCCGCACCTTGATAGGGAATTTCTCGAGGACAACTCGGTCCCTAACTGAAGGCAGAATATAAAATTTAGGGCCCTCGAGCACATCCTGGTATTATGCGAAACACTTCAAAATGGGTCCTTTTGCAGAAATCCTGTCTCAAAGTGGGGATGGTTCGTCCGTCTTTACGCATTCGTTCATCTTTTGCAATTAGGGTATTCGCGACTCGCTATGGAACCTTTAAAGTACAATTCAGTCTCCAACTAAAGGCGGAATATAACATGGGTGACCTCGAGCACGTTCTGGTACTATGGCAAATACTTCAAAATATGGTAACCACATTTCAATTAGGAGAAATACACCTGCATTTTCAAAACGTAACGCACCTCAGGCTACACAGATCTCTTCTATAAACCTTATCGCCCATTTAATCATTTATGGTGTGGAACCACCGTCATATATCTGGACACAGTACTTATGTCTCGTGGATTATCTGGTACGCAGCTGTTAAAATTCAAACCTGAGATTTTTTATGGTTACATATAGATATGTTTGTATAATTTTTAAAGAAGTCAGATAAGAATTTACTTGAGTTACGGTTCGCAAAAACACTGCATTTGGCATACAGCCAATAAAACTCTTACTCATGTGATGGTAGGCGTTTTAAAGAATGCTAATTTACATTCGTTGTCTTCTAGAACCGAAAATGCATAAAATTTTGAGGCTCCTTTTGTGCATCTAGATTGGGCAACAAATCTGGTACCTGCCGATCCGTTTAAGCGCTTTGGTTGTCTTTTATCTACACTCCTCAAAGTCGTCATCGGGGGGAGCCTTTCTAGAAAGGAGTTGCGCAGACATCCTCTTGCCTTGAGGATGTGCCCGAGATTATGTCCGCTTCCCGACAGCCGGTGTCAAAATCTGGGCGTCGTTATCAGTCATATACTCAGGTCTGAGCGTTCTGCCGGATTCCTTCTAGGCGCTTTTTCGACCTCCGGCATGTTGTAAAAGAAGCTGATCGGAGTGCTTTTCAATAAGCGTAGGGTGCGCCTAACTGATTTAGATATCTTGCAAATGCTCGCTAATTAAAGAAACGATAATATTTGGTGACCCGAGGAAGCTCCATCAGCGCTGCCTTTTCCCAAAAGCGTTTTCTTTTTTTTTTCTTTGTCTGGCATCGGTGGTTGATTATTAAGCTTCTGTTTGTAAATAAGTAGATACACTAAACTTTTTTGCTGCGTTCTTTTACTTTGGGTTATACGCATAGCATCGCTAATGACGCTAATGACGTTTTGTTTCGCCTTAAGCTAGGACGCAGCCGATGGTACGAGCTGGTGGGGCCAATCAGACAGTGTCAAAAATTAACCATCATTGTGTTTGTGATGTTTCTGTGCGTGATATATCATGGGTGAACCAATCATGAACTAAGAAGGCCTAGCGACTTGCGCTTATGACGCTGCTTGATTAGTCTCTACCTCATAGCGTCGTCCGCGACTGGACTTAAGCTGAAACAAACTGTAAGCAGTCCATTATCTCGTTTTGTTTGCTTAATATTTTTTGTTACGATTGGTGGGAACCGGGATCTCGGGATAACGTCAAACAAGCGCGACTATTGCGCCTACATTATAAGAATGAGGAAAAACAAGTTTTAGTGTCTCTACTCCCTTAATGTTGCGAAAAAAAAGTGATAGGCATGTACTTTTGTTGAGCGCGATGGTGGTGAAGTTAAACATTAGAAATAATAAAACATGAACTACGGACAAAACAACACATCTAGAATAGGCATGCTTGAGGGCTTTTTTAAGTCAAGATTATTGAAAAACTTTAATGCGGGCGTACACTGAAATAAAGCGATTTTTGTAGCTATTCATGCACTCCTGTATCCCCTTTTTCGCTGTAAGTATTGGTGTCATGAAGCAGATTAGTAAAAGCACTGGATAGGAGCGGCTGCCAAATAGGTTCTAGACATTTCACTACAGCCATGTTAAAAATTATGTTGACGAAAATACAAAAATAGGTAGCTGTGACCTGTTTAATTCAAAGGCTACATGATCGGGAATTGATGCGTGATTACGCGGTTTTTATTTTTGAGCTTAAAAATACCACACATTTAATTTCTGATTCTCTTCAGTATAGATTTTCTACAACAAAATCCTGGCAGTATAGGTTTTATTATAGAGGGTATCCGCTGGACGCCATATTTGACGGCGATGTTAAGAGCGCATGATCAGAACGAGCTTACGTTAATAGGCTGCTAAGGCCGGCAATCTTAATGGTGCGGAATGCAAGCTGCAAAAAGAACTGTGAAAGCTAGCTGTCAATACGCGCTTTACAGTTGCGCACACAGTTGCGCACACAGTTGCGCATACACTGTGAACACAGTTGCGCATACACTGTGAACACTCACTATAGGATAGTCGCAGGTTGTAACCTGAAGCAGATAATTTCTCGCCAAGTTCTTAGAAATAATTACCGTACTTTCTTGGTAGTGTTGCACAACAGGGCTTAGGAAATTCCTCAAAATCCTCGGGTAATTACATTTTGCCAGATGATGAAAGTTAATACGTCTGTGAAACTTTTAGAAATGAGCCTTCCTCAATGCTGCTTGTATCAAAAACACGGTGAGCGCCGTAGTAGAGGTATTGAGCTACTTTTAACACCAAAATAGAATGTCCAAAAAATTACAAACCTACTAAACAGGCTCGACAAGTTCGGAACCGGGCCGATTTGCTCTAGAAGAACCACTAGATGAAACCTGCCGTACGCGGCATTGATTTCACGTATTGAGCATCAGAGGAAGACATGTCGTGGTTCTTGCCACAGGTCTGACGGCAGGTCTGGCCCCGCTCTACCTGTGCGAGATCTCGCCCATCCGATACCGGGGGGCCACGGGTACCATCTACCAGCTGGTCCTGACCGTGTCCATCCTGTTCGCCCAGCTGGTCGGCATCCCGCAGCTGCTGGGCAACGACGACAACTGGCCTTATCTCTTCGGTAAGTGGCAGTTGGAGTGCGGGTCAGGATATTTCTGCCAGATCTCACCAAAACTGGTAACTATTCCTTGACGACAGATCAAAAGACAAGCAGACTGGTTGATATTGCATAATGCATATTAAGATCCGAAAGAAACGACTGAAAACATAAACAAAACAAAGACACGCGTCACTTTCTATTTTAATATATTCCGTTCACTTTGACAATCTGGTGGAGGCTACGTGCTTGTTGTTCTAGTGATACGTCTATCCTTCGCCACGCGATCTCGCTCCCGCCTATACGCACGCGCAGAGAGCAAGGTGAGATGATGAAACGGATGTTGTTGATTGATCAGGCAAGCGCGTAGCACCAGTCCCGCTCTCAACATGGCGTAAATATATTCTGAGAACCACACAAATTGACCAGTACTCAATGCTCCGTCTTTTCATCTTATAGTCTTTCCGTCTTGCTCCGTCTCTCTAAACCATTTGTATTTCTCCCTCCGTAGTTTACACCGACCCGCTGACTTCGCTAGAAATGCTCGTATCACTGAAGCGTGCTCTCAATTCACTTTTCCTTGAACTGAAGAACCAAATTATCTTTGTCTCGACCAACGTTATTGCAATACTTTTATGCTGGTTTCCTAGCCACGTCGGCATTCTTGTAAATGAGGCTGCCAACCCGGCATCAAGTTCTGTTAGTGACAGAATGAGTGCACAAAATACCTTACAAAATCAACCGCACGTTCATGAGGTGTGGCATTTGAGCCAAGTAGTAACTCAAGTGGAACAAAAAAGATGCAAGAAAATACAAAGGATATTTTCTAAGCAAATGAGAGTGTTTCCGGTATCCGGAACGCTCCTGTAAGGCGGTACTGTGCTAATTACGAATCGGCCATACGTGCCTTACTCGTCGGCACCTTTTACAGGGGACCGTGCTGCAGTATATGCGAGCCCTTCAACATACTGTTAATCATCTTACACGACCAAGAATGTTACAAATATGTTTGACAATATTATACAGAGCATACATTATTATATTTAAATGTTTTGAGTAGTGTTTAACCGCTGATTTCATAGAACTCTGTTTTCAGATTTCTTGAGAATGTCAGACTTCTACACCAAATATGATTTTAATTATTACTCCGAAATTAATGTCCGCGACTTATAAATTGATGCACATTTGATGTTCATTGTTTCATCATATTATCAGCTACTATAACTCTCCTTCTCCTTAACCCTTATTCGCAATACTTGTGGTACTTGGTGAATGATAGCCTTAGTTTTTGTGAAATTAAACCCCAATGAAGCAATCGACCAATTATTGGACGAAAAAGTGAGTGGCGCTAAAGAAATATTATAAAAAATCACGGTTGCTTTCGGGGGAAAGAAAGAAGAAAAAACAGTGAAAAGAATGAAAATTGAAAAGGACCCCGGCGAAAGACTGAAGTTTGATTCGGACCGTGTAGGTTCGAATTGTGTACCTCTTTTAGAGAAAAGTTACACCACAGGCACAACAGACACTACTGGATCATTAGATTCCCGGAGCCTTGCACAAAACAAGAGATGCCCCGAGTAAAATAAAAAAAAAAAATATCGTTTTATTTTGTTACGATGTATAAACGGAGTTGTTAATAACAATGTGATTTAAAATATTGAATTATAAATTTGGTGACTCAAATTGTTTTATATCCGTTGTTTTATTTAGCTTAATATTAAAACGTTGTCCCAGCAGAAACATTAGAGGTCTCCGATCATTCTTCGTTTGAAAATGTGTGGCGAATAGTCCTGCAATTGTGTTACTACGTGAAACGTTCTTGGTTTAGCGCTAGTAACCTCCAGGCATTTCTTCTCGAGATGTACCTTTAGGTCTCTCCACTCCTCTCTACCCCAGTGACTCCACCCACCCCTCACCACACCATTGACACATTGACCCCTCTGATTTTCTTCGTCGAGTTGGTCTGTGTCCATGGCATAGGGTATGGGGAATGGCGGGTAGCGGGTAAACTGAATTTATGTGTAGGTCACGTGACGTCGATTTCCGTCAATCAATTTTTCCGCTAAATTTAGCGGGGAAACTGAATTTTTGTATAGGTGACGTGACACGAAGTCACGCGACATCATCTTCCCCGCTAAATTTAACGGACAAACTGAATTGGTGTTGAGGTGGGTGACGTAAATTTCCCGCTAAATCTGGCGGGGACACTTAATTTGCGTACAGGTCACGGGACCATGTCATGTGACGTTAAGATTTCCGATAATTTTAGCGGGGAAACTGCTCTTAAGTATATGCCACGTGACATGAAGCCATGTGACGTCATTTTCTCCGCTAAGTTCAGCGGGAAAATTCGCGGTTACGCTTTTTGGAGGCTTCGCATCCCCTGAAAACCTAGCCTATAAACGTTTCAAGTTAATAATGCAGCGGTTGGTATGCGTTGGTATATCATAAATAAAACGGGTAACCATATCGTTTCAAAGGACCCCAACCCCAAGCCTGCATAAAGTACTTATTTAATGCTACGCCCACAACTTTTACGACAGAGTTTAACACTCAATCTTGTGTCTGGAGTCATAAAATACTTCCGAACATCCCGCTATCTCACGGAGGCTTTTGCGGAGTCTGGGGCCGTAAAACTGCGACTCTGCCAAATCTCAGTGCTTTATTGGGACAGAGGTTATGGTCGAGCGTTAAGACGTCCAAGATGGTTTGAAATAATCCTTAGATTTTCCCTGGAACCTCCCAGATCTTTGTTACTTTGTTACGTAAACCCTACATTGTCTCAAACTACTAGGTACGTCGTAAACGAGTTCAGGCCAGGCCCCCGGACAAAATGCTGTATGAGGGGGAGGGGGGAAAGGAGGTCCCAACAAAATGGAAGATTTCGGGGGGGGGGGGGAGGGCCCCCCCCTCCCCCTGGCTATGTGCCTGGTTTAGGCACTATAATTTACGAGGAAAGATACACAAAAATAGTACGTGCCAAGTCAACACCACCTAAAAATATCAAAGCCAGTGCATTAGCTTTCTAACGCAATCCCAGTGAAATTGATCGCAGACCCAGAATGAACACCAGTACTCCGTGTGCACTCGGCTGGGTTCGTATCTAAACAATGCGCCGCAGCAAGCTCGGCGTCGGGCCCCAGGCCACAGAATTGCTGAGTTGGTTCCGCCGCTATTCCAGTGTGGTATCGTTACGTGGAGGTAGAGCAGGCTGAACACAGTCTGAGTTTTCTGGGTGGCGTTGGTCGAGCGCACGGAGCCTACGTTTTAGCACAATGGTTCATTATCTCCCATAGGGATTTTATCGTAACGCGAACATACTCCCTTGCGCAGGATTGGCGGGGTCTAGGATGTCCGGGCTCATTGTTCATTAAGCACTTCAGATTTTTTTTTTCTTCGTTGCAGACATAGGGTCTTTATCTTTAGGGGAGATAAAGGGCCACTTGACACTACGTGTGTGTGCCGCATGGTGGAAAGAACGTGAGCGAGTGCATGGCTTCAGGAAACGTGTCCAAGTGCTCACGCAAAAAAAAAAAAAAAAGAAAGAAAGAAAGAAGAAAGAAGAAGCTTGTTTTCGAGGAATACGTTTACGTACCTAGGTGATGTCTATGTCGTTTCATCGTACAGCCCAGCGTAGATTTGAAGTCCAGCACGTGTGTGCTTGTTGCATCGGAATGTAAGCAAGGCACACGCCATTCGCAAGGACTCTTTTAAGATGGAGCTTGCCAGTTCTTTAGTGTAACGGGTTATACACCAACAAGCGGCCATGACTTTATGCCGCTGTGGTGACGAGGAGATTTGCAGGGTGCAAGCGCGGGCGCTCCACTTCACGCAAATGTGGTTTCTGCGCTTGCGCAGTATTCACACCTCGTGTGTGAACTGTGCGCGTGCCCACACCTCTTGTGGGCTTGTTCGTGAAACAGCGCGTTCGTCCATGGATGTGGTGATATGGGAAAGTGTCCTGAACAAGTCCAGAGATCTATGAGAAATGGTAAAAAAAATAAATTCCCCGTATTTATTGGTGCATCGGTGGCTGTTTGTGCCCCTTCCCTGCAAAAAGTGCTCATGTTCGAACGAAAAATCCAACTCCAGAGCAGAGGCATGGCTCCCCTTCTCCCTGTCGTTCCTCAAATACCTTATACAATCTTGTGCGCAGCAAGGACGAGGACAAAAGAAGAAAACGGGACACAACTCATCCAAAGAATCACTCTTCCTCAAATACGGCAAGGCTCTCTCTCGCTTGCTCCTCCCTTCCCCTCTGTAAATTGCCGCTGTTCTTGCTCCGGTGATGCCCTCCCTTCCTCTCCCCGCCCCTTCCGGCAGCTGCCCTTGCGAATTACTCGAGTGCATGGTTGAGCTGTGCGGCCACGCTCCCTCGCCTCCCCACCGCCGTCGCCCAGTTTCCGTTTTCGCGTACTCTTCTCCCACCTCCAGACCAGCTGGCGTACGTACTTTCACTCCTTGCACCGCAGGCAAAATCACGGGCGTCCCCGTTCTAAAAAAAAACGTCTCAGCAAAAAAGGAGGAAAAAAAAAAGAAGAAAACATACTCAGGTTTTTTTCCCCAACACATGCAATATCTCGCCCAATCATTCCACCAGAGCACACATCTCCTCTCAAATGTCTGCTACATCAGCGCCACTGAAAGAAAAGAACCCTTCGCGAACATCGTACAGAAGACTTGCTGAAGGCAAATCTCTTTCAACATTCCTTTCCACAACGCAGCAGCTACCACTTTCAATCGCAGCACACTTCGTGTGGTTTAGCCTCAATGTCCTTTTTAGGGTGATGCCACCCTTTGTAGTACCCGATGCCGACAGCACGCGCTCACGGGCAAAATACAAAGAAATCGACGAAAACAAAATGTCGCCATAGCACAGTCAGCGCCACAAGCGCGTGCAGGGACACGCTCTTTCACGAGCTTCTCAACTAAAAATAAAAATAAACGTGTGTGACAAAATGGCGAGATGCCACCACCCTAAGCAAAGCGCGCATGAAGGCACCCTAGTGTGGTTGTTTGTAATT